TCCTGGCGGGGAAGGAGGTGGTGGCGGTGGTGGTGGTGGTGGTGGTGGTGGCAGTGGCGGAAGGCAGTTTCTGGGCGGTGGAGGGTGCGGATCGTCGTCCGCAAAGCCGTGCGTTCACCCCGTACCGCCACGACAACAGGGCGTCGTTCGTTCTGGTGCGAGCGCCGGGAGTCCGCCGGGGTTTCGTCGAACTTTCCTCGAACCAACGGGTCGAACTGATCAAACCGGTCGTTTGGCCGAGTAGTAGTTCGAATTCTATGGCCGTGCGGGAAACCCGGGCCCCTGCGGACTGATTTGTGCCGCGTCAAGACGATTCCGTGTTTAGCTCGTTGTGATCGGCGCTCATGATCAGCAGCACGTTTCTACCAAAGTGCACCACGTGGCTACCATCGAACGTGGCGATCCTATCGCAACGCAACACACCTGGAATCTCAAGGTTGGGTAGTGGCCGTGTCGCATGTTTCATCTAGGATTTACGCAAAGACCTGTCCGCTGAAATATGAAAACGGAAAGACCTTGCGGTTAAAGTTTGCTACGGGGTTGTGGCTATTCTCGAGCTTGAACATCGACGAAGTGGAACAGGCATTCGCGTTAAGGGAAACTTGATCAAAGCGTGTCACTTTTGGACAGCAGAGAATTTACGTTCGAGGAACGGTATGGACGGACAAATTTCTTGCATGACCAATCTCGTTAACGAAGAAAATTGTTACCATAAAGAACGTCACATAGTTCTTTGAACGATCTTGTCAATGAGAGAGGACGTTCGGAAGCGATCGGATTAAAGTTTGAATTTATTCCTAGCGAAGAGTAATTGTAGAATTCAAAGGACGGATATAATGCAAATGTTTAATTGTTTAGGTTGTGATTAATAATTAAGTGTGTGTTATTGGAGTTACGTATTGGAATTCACTGAAGCGAATTTCATGTGTCATCAGAAGTAAGTGGATCTACTTCATGATGATGCAAGAAGCCTTGTGAAGTGAGATATAAGATCAGCAGATTTTGTGAAGTGACTGCAAAAATAAGCGTCAGTATTAGTGAGTCGAATTTTGACCGATAGGTCTATTTTGTTCAGTTTTTAGAATAATTGCCAGAGATCGCATATTTTGGATTACCCTGTATAAACGTCGTGGATTCGCGCCCTTCGTCGGTACAATGAGCACGTGAATCGTCCCTTAAAGTGAGAATCGATCGGACCGCTTGCGTACGAAACTTCGTGGACTGGTAAGTTCACGAAGAGGTCCGCGAAAACTCGCTGTAAAGACAAACGTAAATGAGTCTTACTAATCACACTCATTTCTCAAGAACTCAACGTGATAAAAAGGAGAGTAATTCTTAAAAAGTTTCTGTCTAAAGATTACATTGCTGGTTTACATTATTTTGAATCAAAACGTAAAATTTTGTTAATGTTCGCAAATTTTAAATATGACTTACGTCAAACTTTTCCATTCTTTCTCTAAAAAGGATTTGAGGATATTCTCATAGACAAAATTAAATATTTTTGAAAGATACTTGATAAGTTGACAGTTTGAAAAAATGAATAAGTTATAGGAATTCAAGAGAAGAAATTTTTGATAGTTTGAGAAGATGACTGTATTAATTGATATCTCGTCAATCTATCTATGTCACTTTTTGATGAAGAGAAAACATTGTTTGCCACTCATCACTGGTCGATCATTATTAATGATATAGTCGTCGGTATTGTTATCTATCACGTAATAGAGGCTTGATTAAATTTAATAGTTATGTCATTTATAGGATATTTTTGGTAGTTTTGTTAATTTATATATATTATTAATAACATTATATGAAGAAAATTTAAAAATTTTATCTATGTACTAATCATAAACATTAATGAGGCTTATTTTTTGCTTAACATTATTCTTAATTATTGCTGTGTAGAAATAGAATTATAAATATATAATTGATACTTCTCTAATGGTTTTGCCAATTTCAATAATTTTGACATTTTCAAATTTATGTTTGAAAATGCCTTAATACTATTTAACCAATACAATTTTATATTATTTTAAGTAATTATAAATTTTATTTAAATTGAAATAAAAATTTAATTATTATATATTACAATTTTATAATAATTTATTGCAATTTATTTAATTTATTGCAATAAATAGTTTTAAATAGTAATAAAAAATAATTTAATCTCTATAAGACTAGGAATCTGTCAGAATTGTCTGGAATTTGATTTTTTAAAAAATATGTTGTTAAACACAGAAATCTAAGAAATACATTCTTTTATATCGTGGCTCAATTTGAAATTTAAGAGGAAAAAAGTCTCTTAAAGCTTAATGAAGATGGAGTATTTTTAAGATAGGTTTTGAAATATCTAAATACACAATTATCAAGTTTATATAAAAAAATTATAAAAGTTTTGCCTAAAACATGTTTCTGTGTATTTCATTTCCCATTTCGTTAACAATTAATTTGAATCAAATATAATTTTTAAGAGATCGTTTCACCCTTAAATTTCCCAAATTGAACTAATATAAAAAAATATGCGTCTCTTAGATTTTTGTGTCTAATATATTGTAAGATGAATCCAATCGGTTTCGGACAATTATGAGTATTGATAATTCTTCTTATAAATACAACATAAAAAAACCTATTTAAAATTGAACCAATTTTAAATTTTAATGCTTAAAGCGTTTTTATATTATAAAGTGATATTATTTATCATATATAGAAAAACAATATTATTGTTACAAATAAATTAATTATTGAAAATATTGTGGCAATTATCAATATTATCAGTACTATAATCATATACTCTCGTATATAATACTTAAACTCAATTTCGAGTATTGAGCTTTACGTATCTCAAGTGGGGCTGAGAAAGCTCTTGTTTACGTGAGCATGGAACCACCTTCGCAAGTATTGACGCGTTTAATTAACCACTCGCTAGGATACCGAGAGCAGTATTGACTTGCAGAGTTCCAACTCCATGATAGAAGAACATAAACGTATATGAAGAGTTTTCTTTTATATAAATAATTTGAATCAATATAATGCTTTCAGAGTATACTGATACGGAAACGATAATCTGGTGACAGTTCCTACGAAAATATATAAGATTGCTGTGAACTCGGAAATGTAAGAAAGAAAGTTACGCATGTTTGCGGATTCATCCTTGTTCGTTTGAATACTTTTCTCAAGTTGTCTGAATTATTTTACGCCACAAGGATTATGGAGGCATAAATTTTGATGAGACATGTGTAGAATGCATCATGGGTTTTAAGGAAAATATTGAGAAAGTACTAACTGTGGAGAGAGAGAGAAAAATATGTGGAACAGCTATTTTTTGTTTGCTTTTATACAGCCAATGATTTTATATCAATATTTTGGAGATACACTAATAACTTGCAAATGAGACTAGATACTGTTTCATTAAATTTAATAGATTTATATATGTGTGTGCGTGTGTGCGTGTGCGTGTGCGTGTGCGTGTGCGTGTGCGTGTGCGTGTGCGTGTGCGTGTGCGTGTGCGTGTGCGTGTGCGTGTGTGTGTGTGTGTGTGTGTATGTACAGTAGTAATTAAAAATATTTCGTTGATATTAAAATTCTTGGTTTTCAAATAAAAAGATTTTTAAGCAATGGAAATTTATTAGTAAGTTAAAAATTATCTATGTATTTAATATCTTTTCTATGAAATAAATTTTATATCTCGAAAATTTGAAGAATAATAATCATTTTTCTATTGTAACCATTTGCCAGTGTTGCCAATTGAAATATTTCTACAAGTTACTTGTGAGCGCTACTTACATATGTATACATATTTTTGCAAAAAAATGATACAAATAAAAAATACTATCATGTCTCAAGAAATCTTCAAGAGACAGAAAAAAATTACGTATTTAAAAAAATTAATTATTTATTATTATTGCAACATTATTTAGTTAATATAAGTTAATTTGTCAAAGTTAATAACAAATTGC